CCAGCAGGCTCCCAGGGCAGCACTTTTTGCCCATGCGGAAGTAATTCCTCTAATTTGTGTAAGAGGGACCCTGTGTGGAGATGCAGAGCTTTTTGCTGTATCTGCCAGGCCAGGTGTATCTCATTAGTTCCAACTCTGCAAGATAAAAGGCAGAGGCAGTCGAGAGAAGGAAGTGTTCTGGGGGGTAGCTGTTTTAGGAAAGTGTTAGGGATTAAGCATTATGTTGAATTGTTTTAAGTATAATCCTGTCCCGTGGTGTTTTGTTCTGGGTTAAATTTCTAAATATAACCCAGGATCAGGGAGATTTAGGGAAAAACCTACTTTGTGCATGTGCTGCCTTTTATTAGGGGGTTCAGAACCTGCCCCTTCACACTTCTTGCATGGAAGACTGCAGAATCATAGCCTTCTTTACAGTATTTGACTTGCTGAGCTGATGCTGCTCATTCAGTGATCCCTAGCTACAACACTGTCTAACAACATATGGTCCTCTATGGCTGATTTTCAGCAGAACTAGGACCTTAATTTCAAACACACTCAGCTTCCAACCTGCTGAGCCCTTTGGAAAATCTGACCCCTATATTGAGACTTTTTTAAAGCCCAAGGTTGTGGTCCGAATTCCATGATGCCAAATCAGATTTAGCTTGCTTATTCCTCCCAGTTTTTCCTAGACCAGTGCATTTGGGTTCAGGAAATACCATCATTCAGTCACACACATGTGGTCCTATTTGGGTTTAGGTGCCTGCTCCATGGCTCGGGGTCTCCCACGTAGTGGAGTAGAGAGGAGATGGAGGTAGCGGAGCTGTCGATTGTCTGCCTTGCTGCAGGAAGGAAAGCTGTTGCCTCTTTACTGCTCCCAGCCACTCCTTTGTTCTCTCCTCCCTTTACTTCCTGTTGGTGCCTCCTTCATGGATCAGTGACCCCCTCCCCCGACCCCTCCATCTTCTCTGTCAGATTGCTTGCTCCCACTTTGCTCATTCAAGAATCCAGGCAATCTTCCTGCCCAGTTCCAGGAAGTCCCCTGCTGCCAGCTGCCTCCCTGTTGTTTATGCATTGTGTGCACTGCACTGTGTGATTATTACCTGTGCTTTGCTCCTCACATTAGGAATGTTTTTAGTACAGACGGTAACAATTGTATTGGCTCAGGCAAGCCTAGAGCTGTAAAGAATTTCCTGTCTTATTATTTTGGATAGTTTAAAAATACTGCTTTAAAGAAACAGTACATGAATGTGAATAACTATTGTGGGTGCTGTGATGGCTGGGTGAACTGGAGCTACGCTAGGGAGAACAGCACTGCCTGGAGGCCTTGTGCCTGAATGGTGCAGGAGCATACAGAATACCTCAGGGGAACGAGAGGCAGTTATTACACCTGTTCTACAGGTACTCCTCCCTTGGGGTTCAGCCTGTTCCATGGTGGCTGCAGGCTAGTGCATAGAAGGGTTGGAGCTATGGTCACGTACCTTAACATCATCTTTCTGGGATCAGTGCTTAGCACTGCTGGAGCACTAGAAACTCAGTTATGTTTGCCTCTTGCATAGGTGCACTGGAAGAGGAAAGGAAATTCCTGTGCTTACCTTTAGCACACCTGCCCTTGGCATCTATAATGGAGTAAAATATTACTTCAGATTAAGTACTGGTCATCCATGCCATGCTGATCAGCATGGTATCTGAGAGCCCAGTCCAAACCTCAACTGAAGGGAGCCAAAGTAGTAGTTGTCTGCCATTTTGTGGTTTTTGCAAAAGGAATTAGCTTGTCAGTCCAGTTCCTAGTGGCTATCTGTGCACATCTGAAACCTGCTACCAGAGCTAACAATCTCTGTAGTGAGTCCAGCAAGTTAGGTGGCAGAGAGGTGAAGCCGCCATCTTACTTTTTGAGATGGTCTCCAGAACAAAGTTGAAGCATGTTGTGGAGGGTAGGAACAACATGGCAAAGCTATCAGTTATGCTACCTGCTCTGTACCAGTTCTGTGAATAAACAGGGAGTCAATCCTGCATCTTTCACAATCACTAATTTTCTTCTTAAAAGAAATCAAACAATGTCCATAAATGTAACATTCCCCAGCTCTTCCCAACTCCTGCTATTCATGGATTCCAATCAGTTCTTCTATGCAGGCTATAGATGACTTTCCGAAAACTAATACCTAACCATTTGTCCATAACAAGCCAAAGGAGGGAACCATTCACCTCCCAGACAGAGCAGTAACTGAAAGTAACATAATCAAAGTATAAGAGCATTTAGGCAGCTCCTAATGCAGGTTGTTGTGCATGTAAAGCTGAGCGCATCATTCTCTGAAAACACTGTAGAGAAGGCTACTGAAATCCAGACCTCCTGCACAGCCAGTCAACATTGCCTTTTGTACAGTGAGGTAGCTGCTGTGATGTAGAGAAATTGCTAACATTTTAGACATAGATTTTCAATGAATTGGTTTTTCTCTCTTTTTCTAGGTTTGCTTTTTACTAGCTGATTCTCTATAAGTGTTAAGCTGCTCATATTTTGGTGCATTGTGCTATGTGCTGAGAATTTTTATCAGCCGCCCTTGTGCTAGAATGTGGTGGAAATACAAATGTATTTGAAAAGCTGAGGTTATGTGCACAGAAGTACAAAGCATCAAAATGAACTGTTTTCAGATGGACAGGAAGCAAACCAAAGCTGAGTCTGCACCTCTGTGGGGTTCAGTATATCAAACTGGCAAGGACTGAATGCATTATTGTATTATTATTAACATTAACTCTTGACCACATTGGTTTGTTAGTTTATTTGTGTACACATTACAATAAGAATATGCTACATAACAGTGGTTCTAAAACTTTTTTTTTCTTGGACCACTTGAAAATTGCTGAGGGTCTTGGCGGACCACTAAATGATCTTTCCAAATGTTTGTACCATTAGCTAATTATTGTAAAGCGCTTTGGATAAAAGCACTATATTAAAAAAACTTAATAATAATTAACGTTTTTTTGTTCTACAAATAAAAGCACACAACTCATATTTTAATATCAGTAGTCTTACTTTTCTAATGCGATGGATGTGCCCTTTCTCCTCCGCCACGGCAGTCCCCGAGCTGGGGCTGGGAAGGAGAGGGTGTCTCCCTTGCTGCGGCAGCCACCGAGCTGAGCTGGGAGGAGGGGGGGTCTCTCCCTCTCTCCCCCACCGCAGCAGCCCCCGAGCTGGGAAGGAGGGCCGTCTCTCCCTGGCAGCCGCAGCCCTGGAGCTGGGGAAAGTCGCCTCTTTCTCTGGCCCCTGCAGCCCTGCACACCCCAAATTCCCCCCACCCCCTCTTCTCATCCCATCTGCCCCCTATTCTCCCCAAGGCCACCACCTCACCTTACATGTGCGTCTTCTCCGGGGTCCAGGCACCTAATTAGTGGAGCCATGCCTGCACAGTTCCACTAATTAGGTGGGTGGCCCTTCATTCTCTTGTGTGCGGCCACCCAGGCACGCACCTTAGAGGGAACTATCCGCGGACCACCTGAATGGAGCTCGTGGACCACCGGTGGTCTGCGGACCACAGTTTGAGAACCTCTGCTACATAATTTTGAATGAAATGTGTGTGCTTTGCAAAGGTTTACTGAGTTGTCTTCAGCTACAAGTTCTGATCAAATGAAGAAAACACTAGAGTCAAAAGCATATACTGAAAAAACCTGGGATGTTATTTGTATTAAATGGTCTAGTTCTTAGGACAAGGCAGTGAGAGTCAAGACTCCTGGATTCTATTCCCAGCTCTGCCACAGATTCACATTAGAGCTTCAGACAAGTCATTTAACCTCTATGTGCCTCATTTCCCCATTTGTAGAAGGGGGATAATATTTCCAAGTTCACAAGAGAACTGTGTGATGTACAAGGGGAAAATGTGTTCCCTTGCTTGGGTGTGGGACTACTGAAAAAGATGCAGAACCACGGAATTTCTTCTCCATAGGGAGGACTGGCCACAAAGTGGCTGTGTAGGGGAACTCCACACCCTGTGTGTGCCGTGAGTGTGGCCAGCGGGTTCACAAACTGTGCAGATCCACCGATCAAAACCCCAGCATAGTGAGCTCTGGCCACTATTGGGGGATAGATCCTACCAGATATGATTTTGAGCAGAGATTGAAAATGTGATCCTTAGTTTTTGTAAAGAGCTTTGAGATCCATGGATAAAAGATTCTGTAGACGTGCAAAATATTATCCTGTGTATCAACAATGGAAATGCTGCTATTTGCAGCCGTAGGTTCTGGAGCAGACGGCAGGGAGAGAATCTTTATTATTCCCATACGAATGGAGATCAAGTGCTGGAAGTGACAAATTTAATCTTCAGTGGAAGGAGGTGGTGCTGGTTATTTACAAAGCCTCTGCAATTGTGTGGGAGGCCAACAGGGAATTAAGCAAAATGTAAAAATCAACAAAAATACAAACAAATGGCAATCCCAGATGTAGAATTTATGCTCAGATTTTTCATGTTGAACAAAGTTAAAGCAGAGTGCCTTTTAGCATTGGTTACTGAAACAAAAATGCTGACTCTAAGCAGGTTGACACATGAGACAAACCCATTTTAATTTATTTCCTATCGTAAGTTGTTTCCCTTTAGGTTTTAGTTCTAGCAGCAGCAGCAGCAAAAAGCAAATGACACACAGCCTGTTGGAAATTGAACTTCAGCCTGTTAAAATAATAATAATAATAAATGCAATAAAATGCCCCTTTAAAATGTCTGTCTGCTGTTTGTTTGAAAATAACCAACATTTATGTAGGCATAATAGAAAGGGTCTGATCCTGCAAACTTACTGAGAATCCCCTGGAAGCCAGCATCCATGTCCTAGCACATCCTACTATGGTGATGAATACTTAGAGAGAGAGAGAGAGAGAGAGTGAGAGTGTGTGTGTGTGTGTGTGTATATTTACACCATGCTATCTGATGGGACTTCAGTGTTAGTTTCTAAGTACTACATGTGTGAGTAAGGATTGCAGGGTCATCTTCCAGAAAGAAAGAATCCTCAATTTCATAAGCCATTGTATTTTCTTCACACAGATCAAACTGAAGGATTTCATTGTAGGGAAGAGTGTCGGATCCTTGGTCACTCAGATAGATGCTGGATGCCCCGGAACTCTGTCCCCAGTCGTGCAAAATCCCCCGAGCATGGAAGGAATGTCATGGCACTCTCTATTGAAGCTACCACTGTGGATACAGAGCCTTATGAAGACTGTAGTACAAAAAGAACTTTTGCAACGTTTGGCAAAGATGGGAGTGAACCCCTCGCCGACGAGCGTATCGTCAACCTGAAAGGCAAAAGAACAGTGGATCTGCCCATCTGCAGCCCAAAGGTAAATGGCGCAGTTCGTGAAGCGGGGAATGGCTGCGAAGCTGTGAGCCCCATCACGTCACCCCTTCATTTGAAAAGCCCCCTGTCTAGCAAACCTTCAGTATCATACAACATAATGCACTGCCCGGTAAATCGCGACCTGGAGCAATTTGTAAACAATGGCCCTTCTCGGCCCACCGAAGCAGAGCCTAGAGGGGCAGACAGTGAAAATATAATGCATGAAATTAACCCACTTCTGCAAGAATGTAGAGAAAAAGACTCACCAGGAGTGAAGAGACTAAAAGACATAGTACTCTAAACGGCACCATATAAAAAGGAGAACCGACACTACTACAAGCGCATATTGTTTTTAATTGCTTACCAATGGTTCACAAATTGCTGTATTTAAGAGCTTTCCCTAAATGTATTGTTTATAAATGAAGCTATCGTTAATGTGACAATCCCACTTGTTTCAGCAACCAGCAGGGGTGTTCAGTTGAAGCAAATTAGCTTGTTTTTCTTTTGTCACGGGGTGGGGGTGAAGGTGAGACTAGTTCAGTTATAAAGAAGTATTATGTATGGAGTATTTTCAATTTATATATTTTTATATATCAAAACTCTCTATTATAAATTGCCATTCTTTGTAATGAATTGAATTGAAAACTCCTTATCCGGCCATCTTTAATAATCACCCTGATGTTTTTGTAGTCTATACAATTTAATGGCCATTTCTTGTGTACAACTGTTAAAAGAACAATTCAATGAGTTTTAATATTTGCCTAGCACAAGGCTGCTTGTACTTTAAAATGTTGCTATTTTGCTGTGGACACCCCTGCATTAAGAATCCTTTTGCTATCACATGCTTATCTGTACTATTATCGTATTTGATATTGCAAATTACTGTATGTCTAGTGATGGCAAAAGGCTTTCAAGTTTAAAAAAACACAGATATATTTAAAACTTGGGGAAACTGCTATTTTCAAAGCCAATGTAAGGAGTGTTCTCTCCCTGTCTTACCCTCCAGCACCCCACACATCCTATACTTGTTTTCACAGAGCTATGATAGATCATTGTGGAAAGTCATTTGGGGGATATTCTGCTGCCTAATTTGCAGTTGTCAGATGCAGCGTGCTGAACGTTTTGAGATCCATTTTTTTTTTTTTTTTGTAATGTCAAGGCACTGCATGGAAAAGCTTCTCCGTAAGTTATTAGTTCCCAGGTTTAGATATTCCCTGTCTCTAATCATCTCAGTGAGGGAATTGTTTAACAGATCTAAATTAGCATCTTGGTTAGACATACACTTCCTGATTCAACATTTCCCAGTCATGATTACACTAAGTACCGGCGTGAGTGTATGTATCTCATCATGGAATGGATTTTAGAGTGGTATTATTTCTATTTATCCTGCATCAAAAATAGGTATAGAGTAAGCAATAGAAGGATATACGTGTAGGGACAGACAGGTGAAATGTAACACCACTACTAATCAAATTAATGTGCCTTCCATATGGAGAAGAAAAAAGTGAATCATTAAGTACATATTTTATGTGGTTACAAATTTGCACATATGAAATTGATTTTTAAAAGAAAAAGGACCATTTGAGCTACTTGAACGGCCATTTTGTAGAAATGAGGGGAGCTATAAAGATTTTCACAGCATGGTATATTCTCTGCTCTCCTGCACTATATAATTGTTCAGATTGGGTTTGAGAGGGGTGGAGTGGAGGATGAAGGTTTGTGAATTAGTAACCCTTTATTTGACAGACTTTTCTACCCAAAAGAATATTCATTAGAGCTTAATAGTTCATTATGAGGCAGGGAAAAATACAGATATTGCCAACATTTGCTCTGCCAATGAACTGAAAATAATGGTTTCTAGAGAAACAGAGTTCCTAGTACTAATGTATCTTGATAACATTCTCGTTACTTTGATTTATTTAAATTAAAAATGTCATCAGGAAAAGAGCCTCCAATTGTTATTGTCCTAGAAATCAAATAAGCTCCAGTCCTTTCTTTTCTTTAGAGAAGGTGGATAAAATGAATATGGTTGAGTTTTTAACTATTCCAGTTGGTACATTACCAGTATGTCTTATGGGTCCAGGAATTTGAAAATAATTTATCAAAAGGAACTTCTAATTAAATTACTAAAGCTTTTTTTATTGGTGTTGATTGCTACCTCATGCAGATGGAATCCCCTTAGTTGATGTGACTGCTTCTGTCCCTCTAACACTGACCCATATTTCTTTTTTTCCTTTAATTTTGAAGTTTGATTCATTTTTTAAATAGTATGTTCTTTTTATTCAATTTTTTTTATATCTGGGGTACTGTACTGCTGTCATTAAAATATATATTTTTTGCAAGTGGATGTATATTATCTGAGCAATAGAAGAAACAGGTAGGTTGGTTTGGGGGGTTTTAAGTTACTGGATATTAAGATGGGTGTTTTGTTCATTATGATGTTACCTGTATTTGTTAACTTCTGAGAGCTTTATTCAGTGAAAATTCATGTCCGTCCTTAGTGAGCCACAGAAGCCTCCTGGATATCTTTGTTAGCTGCAGAAATTAATCCTCATTGATTGGCGGAAAATTGTTTATAGAAGGATTGTGTGTGTGTGTGTGTGTGTGAGCAGTAACTCAGAATCAGTCTATAGTACTGTTCCCCCACCCCTCCAACACACATTCTTCAGTCGCATATGGATAACCGATGGCAATCATGAAACTTTTGACATCAGGGGCCTCTACTTAGGATGCTCAAAGACTCTGGTTGCTTTAGGCTAGCTGACAAAATGGGTTGAAGTTTATATGAACCTTTTGCTCTCTTGGAGAGCCCACAAAAAGGGCTTGGGTTTCTTCAAACTCCTGAGTTTTACTGCTGGGATTTTGTTACAAAATCCAGGAAGCTCATTAGTTTTGCACCAAGTTCAGTGAAACTCTCCATCCAAAAGTTACCTTGAGATTTTGAATTTTTACACCCCCAAATGTAAACAAACCTGGGTTGGGGATGTGTGTGTTGCAAATGGTGTAAACTGATCCTATCTGACCGCTTGATGCAATCTTTCCTGACTTGAAACTGGTGGGTGTCATGCTGTATTTAATGGCAGGTCATTTCCCTGAAATGAGCCATTCAAGTACTTCACAAAAGGGAGCTGATGAGGAATAGCCAATAGACTTCCCTGAGGAGAGCCGAAGGCATGAGCCCTCACTGTGATAGGAGAGAGCCCCATTCCTCACCCCACAACTCCATGTCTGCAACAAGTGGGAAACTATTTAGCCAAGAAGGTCATGTTTGGTCCAGGTCATAGAGCCGCCTTCTCTCTCCAAACATACACACTCCACACATAAGTATGGCCCTACTTTAATATCATTGGACTCTGTGGCTGAGCTCTGTCTAAATTCCAGCACTAACATCATGATTCCTGCCTTGGGTTATCTTGATCCAGCTCCACTGAAGACTCCCATTGGTTCCCTGGGGGTTGGATTGGGACTTAACTCCCCAAGCCAAATAATTTGCCCAGAAGGGCTTGTACATTATCTTCTATGGAACTGAGAGCAACAATCCATCAGGCAACATGGGAGAGGAGAGGCTAGCCAATCAGCATGGATTCTCCTCCATCCACTACACTGTGCTGTGAAAATTGGACCGTCCTATTCCTCTCCCATAGCCCTCCTTCTCCCCATCCAAGGAGAGACTAGGTGATGGTCCCCAGTCACCTGACCTGGTGAATATAAAACGGACAGAAGAGTCCAGCTGTTGATTTCTACTGAACTTGGGGCTCCGACTATCGAGCTGCCAACACCAGCCTGGCACTGGGTAGAAAATAGATGCTAACTGAAAAGAAAAATAAAACATTTCTCTGATTACATATTGAAAACATTCCTTGCCACTAGAAATAAAAGCGCAGCCCAGAAAATATGTGAAATATTTCTTAATTAAAAGGGAGTTTCAAGAGGTCAGTAAGCCCTACTGCCTCCAAGCAAACCATTTAAACAACAGTCTTTCCCATCCTGGCCTGTTCTGAAGCTTGGGATCTTGAGTGCCTAAGGCACCTGCATGACATATTGTTATCACATGAGAAGAAAAACCAGGAGAGGGACTGGAAAAGGTTCATCACTGACAGAGTTCCCTTCCCCCTTCCAAATATTTCCTATTCCCACTTGCTTTCCCTCTCTCATTTGAAATCAGTTCAGAGCTTATGACTGAGCTGTATTATAATTTTTAAAGTAGTTAAATTAACCACATCAAAATGTGAATGACCCAGGATGGCTTTTTTGGACAAGATGTAATGAAGCTCTCTTTAGAATTTATATTGTTATCAAATTTGGTGCAGGAAAATCGTAAGAACGGTGTAGTAGTTTATACCACATTTAACAGCCTGATTTCCAGAGGTGCCGATCATAACCCACAATGAAACCAATACTGTATTGTGCATGCAGCACCTCTGGATACCAGGCCCCAAAGATACAGTCTATGAGTAAATTCATGACATGCTGTACTCAAAGTGTAATATTTACCTACTTGATAGAATATCTTTAGAAAATCCTTTCACAAGTGGAATTTTCTTTTCCTTACATTGAAATCTTGCAGCACTGGTTTTATTTTTATGATGATATATACGAAGGGGAATATGGGGGGTTGGTTACGGGAGGGTTGATTGATGGTTTTAAAAATAATCCGTAAGCACTTAATGCATTGTCCTGATGAAGTTGTTGCGGTTATCCCTGTTTTATTGTGAAGCTGGAGATGGCCTGTGGATCACACATTGTGCAGAAGTGAATTACTTTTTTTCAAATAGGAAACAAGTTGCTTTTGTGAAGAACACACTGTCTGATTAATATGTTGAAATTACTCTTGGGGGGGAAAAAACTAATTACGAATAGAAACACATTTGTCTATCATTGGGGGAAATAGATGATCTTGTTGCTACAGCTGCTTTTGCCGCTACAGATAATCTTTTATCCAACTTATGAGGTGCATTTAACCTTAGCAGAAGAACCCAGCTAACTCTGATGCAAGCCCTGGTGAAATGGATTCTTTACTGGCATTAGCTGATGTTCAGCTGATACGAGCTGGGATATAATCTTTAGTGACAAGAGCTGACCGAGTGCAAGCTAGTTTTCAGCAACAAATACCTCCTTGCACTAGTCAAATGCTAAGGTATTGGTTGCAGAAGATCTTAAGTCTTAAAGCTACAAGCTTCTGTAGCCTGCTGACCAGTCTGGTGACACCATAACTGCCCGCCAAAGCAAGGCGGATTTCAGTGGGACTTAAGTACAGTACGATTCATCAAGGTGTCTCTGTTGCTGATTATATGAAGAATAAATTGTTGTATATGCTGATATGTATGTTATGTACATTTTCACAGTGATGGAATCGTAAACAAAAAAGTGAAAAAAAAAATCACCATTCTGTCTATTTTATGAAGATGATAAAGCAGCTTTATTAAATTATTACAGTTCTGTTTCAAAATGGTGTACCTGCCACATTTTCTCTCATCTGATGAGAACTTTGTTTTCCACTTCAATGTGATTTCCCCCCCTCCTCCCCCGCTTCGAACATCTAATGCATTTTAGTATTAAAGGCAATTATTGAAAAAAATGGAAAATAAGTGTTTGGTTAAATACGACTAAGAGGGTTTGCTTGTGATTGCCTTGGATTGTTGGCCTGGCAGAAATCAAGGCAAACAGAGCTGTTCACATGGTCTTTTCTTAACCCTGTAGAATTTCAACTGGTGCTAAAATGGATACTGTAATATCCAGGGGCAACTGCCCAGTTTTAATATAACAGCCTTATTTTGAAATGTTTTAAATCTCAGATCTATAATAGGTTCACCGGAGGGCGGAATTCATTGTAGTGCATTGGGACCACATAAGCCCCTCCCTTCTATTTAAATTCCACTTACAACCCATGTTGAGGGCTTAATGTGAACTGCAAAGGAAGGAAAAAAAGTGTGTGTGTGCCCCCTTTCCTTCTTCATTGTTTGTAAAGAAGGCCTATAAAATGTTTCTTCCACAGGAATATGAGGGAAAGCAAGTCTTGCCTTTCCAGGTGTTGCAGGAGGTCTCTTTGGAGGACCTAGAGAAGTGGTTAGGGAGCTTTCTCAGCCCTTAATTGATTATCCTTCTGCAGGTCTTGCACTGGGGTGAATTTCACCCATAAGGGGGTGTTATATTGGTCTTTTTCCATTAACTGGATCTGTACTCATTTTAGCTAAAACACATGATCGCGGAGTTCTGGTGAAAGACTAAATAAACCCAAATATCCTGCAGAAAAATAATTATCCAGTGGGGTCTGTTTGAGGAGTTCCTTTTAGAAACAGGTGAGGAAGTGGAGTGGCTGTTGGTGATGATGGGAATAATAGTTTAAAAACAGATTTATATTTGCTGTCTTTAGTTTTAAAGCAATGGAGAAGGTTACAGCAGTATGATTCAATAGTGAAGGTTCCTCTAGGTTTATCCCTTAAAAACTGCCAGATTCTGAGATTTAACACTGGGGAGATTTAACACAGTATAGGCTGGTAACAGCCTAT